AAACCGCTGAGGCAATATGTACATTTTTGGAAGGTCTATGGAATAAAATTTTAAGACCAAAATATTGAATTTTTCAAATTTTTAGTTGTTATTCTTTTCTGTAATTGTGGTTTTTATAATAACATGTCTCTGTCATGAGCTGTTACTCTATGTATTGTAGACACAAACCATTTGCTCAAAATGCATTTTGTCTAGTCTTTACCATTTCAGGTCTTTGATGTCGGTTCACGTTTTCGTATAGCCCTCATATATCGGTACCTCTCGATATTCGGTATTTTCATGATTTTAGCGACATTATTTACCAAAATTATTTTAAATTTCGTATTTGAAGTTCGTAAAGGGTACAACAGACTATGGCAATAATTTTTGTATGCAGGTGCAAGTCTTTGTATAGCCCCCAATAAAACGATACCTCCCGATATTCGATATTTTGATGATTTCAGCAACATAATTCACCAGAATCGATTCAAATTTCATACTGGAAGATCCTAATAGGTACTAAAACCTATGGCAAAAATTTTTGTATGCATGTTCAGATCTTCGTATAGCCACCATATAGCGGTACCTCCCGATATTCGGTATTTTGATGATTTCAGCAACATTATTTACCGGAATCGTTTCAAATTTCGTACTGGAAGATCCTAGTAGATACTACAACCTATGGCAAAAATTTTTGCATGCAGGTTCAGATCTTCGTAAAGCCACCATATAGCGGTACCTCCCGATATTCGATATTTTCGTGATTTTAGCGACATTATTTACCAAAATTATTTAAAACTTCGTATTTGAAGTTTGTAATGGGTACTATAGCCTATCACAAAAATGTTTGTATGCAGGTCCAAGTCTTCGTATAGCCCCCATATAACGGTACCTCCCGATATTCGGTACTTTGATGATTTCAGCAATATTATTCACCGGCATCGTTTCAAATTTCGTACAGCCTATGGCAAACATTTTTGTATGCAGGTTCAGATCTTCGTATAGCCCCCATATAACTGTACCTCCCGATATTCGGTATTTTCATGATTTTAGTGATATTATTTACCGAAATTATTTCGAATTTCATATTTTAAGTTCGTAACGGGTACTACAGCCTATGACAACAATTTTTATATGAAGACCTACGTCTTCGTATAGCTCCCATATAACGGTACCTCCCGATAGTCGGTATTTTGACGATTTCAGCAACATTATTCACGGTAATTGTAACCAATTTCGTATTTAAAGTTCGTAATGGAAAATGCAACCTATGATAAAAAATTTCGTACATAGGTCCACGACTTGGTACAGTCCCCATATAACGGTTTTCATTGAAGTGGTAGTTTTCGAATTTTTTTGAAAATTTTCAATTTTCCTCGGCCGGGACGAACTTAGCTGATTTTTTGCTTGTATTTTGTTTTTGGAAATTTCTACTAAAAGGGTACGAAATGTCCTAAAAAATTAATACTTTGTATTGAAACGGAATGAGATAGAATTATGAAAATTGGAACGATAATAATTGAGTAACTGAGTTCAGGATAGATATACCAAAGGAATTTTGATCTTCAACGTTACGAAAAGTTCTAAAATGGTACTAGACTTCTAAAATTGTACCATTTGGTATTATATTAAAGGATATGTACGGTATTATAAAAACTTAAAATTTGGTATGAGAATTTAAGTAGGGAAATATTTTGAGCCATTTTTAGAAATGTGAACTATTTGTGCGAACCGTACTAATTGGTACTTAATTTGGAACAGTCTGGTTAAAGGTAAACGGGATGAGCTGGAATTTTGAAATTTTGTATTGGGACTCTCTTAGTGGTCTGCTTGTGATAAAGAGGTGATTTTGATAATGTATACTACAAGTGCACGATAGAAAAGTACTTAATAGTACCACATATGGTACAATTTGGTATTGGGTAAACAGATATTGCTTAAAATCTGAAATTTGGTATTAGGGGTGCTGTTTGTGTGTATGAGAATCAAACTTGGAAAATAATTTGGATATATGGAGGTAGTTTTAGAAATAATTTCTAAGTGTGCGAATCGTACTAAATGGTACTAAATTTGGAACAGTCTGGTTAAAGGTAAACGGATGAAATTAGAATTTAGAAATTTTGTATTGGGGTCCCTTTTGTTGGCAGGTTTGTGATAAAGACCACTTCTTTATCACAAACCTGCCACAAATCTGGAAATGTATACTACAAATGCACAAAAAGTACTAAACAGTACTATATTTGGTAAAATTCGGTATTAGGTGAAGGGATAGTGCTTAAATTCTGAAATTTGGTATTAGGGTCGATGTTCGTGTGTATGAGAATCAAGGTTGGAAAATAATTTGAATATATGGAGGTAGTTTTAGAAATAGTTTCTAAGTGTGCGAATCGTACTAAATGGTACTAAATTTGGAAGAGCCTTGGTTTTGCGTGAACGGATGAAACTGGAATTATGAAGTTTTGCTTTGGGGTTCCTCTTGATGTTATGTTTGCGATTAGGAAGTGGTTTTGGAAAGGTGTGTCACAAGTGCACGAAAGTACTAAACAGTACTATATTTGGTACAATTTGGTATTGGGTGAGCAGATAGTGCTTAAATTCTGAAATTAGGTATTGGTATTAAGGGTGCTGTTCGTGTGTATGAGAATCAAGGTTGGAAAATAATTTGGATATATGGATGTAGTTTTGGAAATGGTTTCTAAGTGTGCGAACCGTACTAAGTGGTACTAGATTTGAAAGAGCCTTTTTTGGGTGAACGGATGAAACTGGAATTATGAAGTTTTGCTTTGGGGTTCCTCTTGATGGTATGTTTGCGATAAAGAAGTGGTTTCGGAAATGTGTACTACAAGTACACGAAAAGTATTAATTAGTACCATATTTGGTACAATTTGGTATTGGGTGAACAGATAGTGCTTAAAATCTAAAATTTGGTATTAGGGTTGCTGTTCAAGTGTGGCCTGGACATATGGAAGTGGTTTTGGAAATTTGTACACTAATTGTACGAAAAGTACTGAATGGTACTGTATTTGGTATAGGGTGAAGGGATAGAGATGAAATTTGGTATTTAGATTACTGATGGTATCTGTGTTTGAAATTTGGCGGTGGTTTGGAAATGCGTCCAATATTTATAGGAAAAGTACTAAATGGTACTAAATTTGGTATTGGGCTAAGGGGTAGGGCTGGAATCCTTAAATTTGCTGTTGAGGTCTCTGTTGGTATCTTGGATTGAGATATATAGGTGGTTTTGGAAGAGTCAACTGTAATTGCACGAAAAGTACTAATTTTGTTATTGGGTGATGGGATAGGGTAGGAATCCTTAAACTTGATATTGAGGTCTCTGTTGGTATATTTGGTGAAGGAGTAGGGCTGAAATGTTCAAAATTGATTTTAAGGTCTCTGTTGGTATCTGGAATTGAGATAAGGAGGTGCTTTTGGAAATGCGTTCCATAATTGTTAGAAAAGTACTAAATGGCACTAAATTTGATATTGGGTGAAGGGATACGGCTGGAGTCCTCGAATTTTATATTGGGGTCTCTATTGGTATTGGGAATTGAGATATGGATGTGGTTTTGGAAATGTCTATTATAATTGCAAGAAAAGTACTAAATAGTACTAAATTTGGTATCGCGTGAAGAAATAACGCTAAAACCCTGAAATTTGATATACACATTGTAAATGTCACTTTTGGTGTCTGTGGTTAAAATATGGAGGTGGTTTTGGAAATGTCTACTATAATTGCAGGAAAAGTACTAAATAGTACTAAATTTGGTATTGTGTGAAGGAATAGGGTTGGAATGCTTAAAATTGATTTTAATGTCCCTGTTGGTATATGGAATTTAGATATGGAGGTTGCTTTGAAAATATACTATAATGTACTATAATTGTACGAAAAGTACTAAATAGTGCTAAATCTAGATTTGCCTAAGTAGTACGACGGTGGCCGGTTTTGGAAATGCGTCCTGTATTTGTCCAAAAGTACTAAATGGTACTAAATTTGGTATAGGGTGAAGGGATAGGACTGGAATCTCCAAATTTGATATTGAGGTCTATGTTGCTTTGGCAATGTGTGCTATAATAGTACGGAAAGTACTAAATAGTACTATATTTGGTATTGGGAGAATCTTACTGTTGATATCTGTGGTCGAGAGAAGTAGTTGGTTTTGGATAAGCGTACTATAATTGAACTAGATGGTACTTAATTTTTGTAATGGGGGAAATTATAGAGCTAAAATACCTGAAATTTGATTTAAGGTCACTGTTGGTATCTGAGGTTGAGATATGATTTTTTTTTTGAAAATTCATACTTTACGAAAGGTACTAAATTTTGCATTGGGTGATGGAATACAGGGTTGCCCATATTCGACGGACCTTTGGGACCATTCCAATCGACGAGGCTTGTCCGCAGGCAACATTCTTTGCGTCAATTGAATTTTGTACGGGAACAAATGTAAATCAATGCTAATAATCCGTTGTAAAGTGGACCGAGCCATGCCCAACTGCTGAGAACGGCGTTATTGGGATGTTCTTGGGGACCTCTCAACACTGGCTTGTACGGCAGCGATATTCTCGGCCGATCGCCTTGGTCGACTTTTATATGGCTTCTTCGGATTAGAAAGAGCCTTACCAGTCGAAAATGTTTAGTATAAATGCTCAATGGTGTTCTTAGAAGGCGCACTTCTCACATTTTTTAATGTTTTAAAAGCACGTTGAGTTTTCACAATTGACTTCTTGTAAATTTCAACTATTTCAGAGCGCTCGCGTGGCGTGTATTGGTTCATGGTAAAAATCTGCTTGGACTGACACTTCAAACGCGGTATGTCATTAAGCGATGTGACATCTCTGTCAAAAGTTATGGCGTTGCCAGATGGGTCCGTCGAATATGGGCAACCCTGTAGAGTTACAATTTATTTTGACCGAAATATGACCATAAATTAATCTTCAAATTATAAAACACCAACTAAAACTTTTTCATATCGAGTAGTGTTCCACAGGTTATATATTTTCAAATAGAAAATTGTCCTTACCTTTAAAGTCTCTTTTTGAAAAGACCTTTCTTTAGTGGTTCCCCTTTTAACTTGGGACTTTACAGCGGCAAATCAAGAGTTTCGGTTTCTTTTATGACATTGTCATGGATCTAAAAATAAAATAAGAAAGAGAAAAAAATAGTTTATTTAATATTGTTTTGAAATTCATAATGATTTGTATTACAAACAAGGTGTATTGTTATTATAGGTCTGTAACATGAGAAAATAAATTAATTGAAACTTTTGTGTGTGTGTGTCAGCCGGCAAATGTGTCTGCATAATATGAATAAAACCAAAGTATATTATTTTAAAAGTGGGAATGTAATAGAGTGGGTAGCTTTAGGATTTTATGACCTATATTACATATATACAATTGTATATAATATGAGAAGGCTATGGATCGACTTTAATAGTTAAAGTTTAAAAGCGTTAATTCGCACGACCTAGACCTCCAGTTGACCGGTGCCAAAAGCAAAATAGGTATCCCGGACCGGTTTAAAACAATAATTTTTCAATTCCTACAATGTGATTCAAAATTATATTCAACTCGAATTTATGACCCACTCTTATATTGTTGTTCGCTGTTTTATTATTGTCACTGACCATATGACAATTACAAAAGCTTTGACTATGTACATTCATATGTGCATATGTACCCATGTAAGTAGGTACATAATACCACTGCACATGTTCGAACGAATGTATGGAAGTCTAGTCATGGGAAGATTAAAACCACTCCTATTTCGACCGACCGAATTAAAACGTGAGATTAAAACAAGTGCGCATAAAATATTTAAAGTCGTGCTGCGACTATAAATTCTGGCCATTGTGTGGAGGTGCATATATGTAACATTGTGTTGTGGAATTGACCACAAAAAAAATTTAATTTTTGTCGTCGTTTTTTTTTTCTAATAAAAAAGGTCAAAGTAATTTTTGCTAATAATGTTTTAAGGTAATACTGAAACCGAAAAATTAGATTTTGATTAGTAAGTCAACCCTGGTATCATATAATAAAAGGCATTATAAACTGTCTTCAGCATATGACAATTTATATCATAAGCTGTTTATACCCTACACCACAAGGTGGTCAGGGTATTCTGTCTTTGTGCATTTGTTTGTAACAGGCAAAAGGAAACGAGATAGACCCATAGTTCCTTTTGATGATCTGCATAGAATCACTTTCTGAGTTGATTTATGCATGTCAGTCCGTCTGTCCGTCCGTCCGTCCGTCCGTCCGTCTGTCCATGTATTCTTGTGAACAAAATGCAGGTCGCTTTTATTGTCCGATTGAGATGACATTGGGCCAACATTTGTTTGGCCCAAGGACGAACCCTATTGAAATTGGAGGTAATCGGTAAAAATTTAGATATAGCTCCCATATATATCTTCGTCCGATTTACCTTTTATTGTACACCAAACGTGTAATATCAGCCCGAATAGTATGGAATTTTGCACATACAACCAAATTAGGCCTGGAAATAAGTGCGCCAAATTTTATCGAAATCGGTTCAGATATAGCTATAGCTCCCATATATATTGTTCATCCGATTTGTTATTTTTGTCCTCCGCAGCCGTAATATGCACTCTGTAACAACAATATTTGGGGAAATATATCAAATGCAGCTCAGAAATACCTTTGCTAAATTTTATCGAGATCGGTTCAGATTTGGATATAGCTCCCATATATAACTTCGTCCGATTTACCATTTATTCTGCACCAAACGTGTACTATTTGTCCAAATGGGATGGAATTTGGCACATACGACCGAATTGAGTCTAGAAGGTATTATGCCAAATTTGGTGAACATCGGTTCAGATATAGTTATAGCTCCCATATATATTGTTCATCCGATTTATTGAATTTGTTACCCACAGCCGTAATATGCACTCCGTAACAACGATATTCAGGGAAATATATCAAATACAGCTCAGAAATATCTTTGCCAAATTTTATCGAGATCGGTTCAGATTTGGATATAGTTCCCATATATATTTTTATCCGATTTCAAATTAATTTCGCACCAAATGGGCAATACAAGTCCGAATTTAAAAGATACAAATGCTTCGGCATATTTAGTCCTTTGAATTTTAAATTATAATTATAATCATAGCGTTATTAAGTGGAGCTCAACTAAATTAGCAAAGTGGTGTAGGGTATCATAAAATCGGCCCCGCCCGACTTTAGTACTTTCTTTACTGGTTTTCCTTTTGGAGCCTTTCGGGAAAAAGCGATTAACTGTTCATCCCATATTTTGTTCTTATTTTTTTTTCGAAATTTGTTATTTTAGAACTCGTTCTAGGAACACCTATATACGGGCATAGATAGACATTTCAGATTCAAAAAATTTTAAACCATAAAATATACACCACATTTATAGGAAAATTCAGAAAATAATAACCGTAGAGCTAAAAATAAAAGGCATGCGCATCGGCGTTTTGAAAGCTTACATCACAAAGTAACATAAGTAGGTGGTGTATAGGCCATAACAAGTCATATATTCTACTAACTTATTTATTATAAAATTCTACTATACGAGTAGGTCCCAGAATATATCAAAATTCTTGATCAACAAAATTAAGGTTAGCGCCGTTGATTGGAAAATACGATCAAGTTAATGTCAAATCTATTGGAAAATACAGGTAAGGTCCTTAAAATAATTAAACGTGGGATATTGTTCTATAATTGATATACCACAATTTGGACCTATATTAGTAACATTTAGGCACGAAAATCCTAAGCAATCTATATCTCTTCATTCTAGACACCAACAGCGATCCACATTTGGTACCATTTAGTAATTTTCGTACAATTATAGTATGAATTTGCAAACCACCATCAGATACCAAGTGACCTCAATTTCAAATTTCAGGATTCAAGTTCTATACATTCACTCGATACCAAATTAAGAAAGATTTAGTAATTTTCAAACAGTTAAAATGCGAATTCTCAAAAAAAAAAAATATCCATATCTTAACATCAGTGACATACATATCAAATTCCGAGACTTCAGATCTATCCCTTCACTCAATAGCACTATTTAGTACTTTTGTACAATTATAGTACATATTTCCAAATCCTATATCTCTTCATTCTAGACACCATCTCTTCATTCTAGACACTTTTGTACAATTATAGTACATATTTGCAAATCCGTCCACACACAGATACCAATTGTTATCTAAGTATCAAATTTCAGAATTTTATCTCTTTTCCTTCACCCAATACTAAATTTTCAATTTCAATCTCCATATCTCAACCTCAGATACCAACAGTAACCCTCATATCTATTTTCAGGATTTCAGCTCTTTTGTTTCCCCCATTACCAAATTTAGTACCATTTAGTATAATTATAGGACGCATATCCAAAAACAGCTTTTTCTTCCTTCTGCATATCAAATTTCAGAATTCCGGTTCTATCTCTTCACCCAATAACAAATTTAGTACACTTTTGAACTTTTTGACCAAAATCACCTCCATATATATTAATTCCAGATACCAAAAGAGACTTCAATGTCAAAATTTAGAATTTCAGTCTTATCTCTTTACCCAGATACCAACATAGACCTCACTATAGAATTAGAGGATTCCAGTCCCTTCCTATCACCCAATACCCAATTTAGTACCACTTAGCAATTTTATTACAATTATAGTACACATTTCCAAAACCATCTTCATATCTCATTTAAAGATACGAACAGTGACATATATAAAAATGTCAGGATTCCAGCTCTATACTTTCACTCAATACCAAATTTAGTACCATTTAGTACTTTTTGTACAATTATAGTACACATTTCCGAAACCACTTCCATAAGTCCAGGCTAAGCACTGTCTGTTCACCAATACCAAACTTTTTCCAATTAAGTACCATTTAGTACAGTTCGCACACCTAGTACACATTTCCAAAACCGCCAAGAACATATGTCAAACTTACTTTCCAACCTTGATTCTCATATCGAATTTCAAGTTTTTACCTCTATCCGTTCACATTACACAAAATAGTGTCATTCTAGAACTTTTCGTTATCAAAAGTTTTTAATTTACACAAACCTCTTGGTACATCTTTCCTGCACTCCATCAGTGACTCACATTCCAAATTTCAGAATTTTAGCTCTCTTCGGTTCAGTACATTTTCAATTTGTACCTATTTTTTGTAACATTTGGTACATATAAGTAAAATTTTCCATAACAATCTGCATCATACAGTCCAATAGAAATATTAAATATTTAATATTATTAAAATTTAGTACCATTTAGTACACATAAGTACGAATTTTCAAAACTACCCTCATTCCTCAGTCCTGGAATGCAGTAGCAATCTTATTTCAATATTTCAGAATTCCAGCTCTATCGGTTCACCCAAGTCGAAATTGTACCAAATTTAGTACTTCTCGTGCACTCCGCCAGTTCAGGATTCCATCTCCAACCAACCTCCAAATTCAAATTGTACTAAATTTAGTAGCGTTTATTACTTTTCGTGTACATGAGTATACGAGTACACTTCCAAAACTACCACCTTGCATCGACTCTACTTCTCAACTGTAATTCCCATTCTGAATTTCAAGTTTTAACTTTAACCGTTCACATAATACGAAGTTATACATTTTGGGACTTTTTGTACACTTATAGTGCGAATTTCTAAAAACCCTTTGATACATCTATCATACCCATAGTAACCCTCATTCCAAATTTAATGAGATATATTGTTTTCTCAAACACAAAGGGTACCATATTTAGTACCTTTAACACTCTTTGTGCCGTTCTAGTACGAATTTCGAAAAACCCAGCTTTATCCCACGCCTACGCACCAAGACTGCAACATTTCAAGATTCTATATTCAGCCGTCTCGTCTGGGCGTCTTATGAATATATCAAATCAAAATACCGAACATCCTTTATATGGGGCTATAGTAAAACGTAAATCAATATAGCCAATGTGTGATTGGAGATAAAACCCTCTACATACTCTGAACACTAAATTTGGAAAATTTTCAAAAATGTTGACATTAAAATTGGTAATTCATCTCCTTTGTGACTTCTTTATAGACCATGAATAATTATATCCATAATTCGATACAAAAAAAATTTTGAGGAATTGATGATTTTATAA